GGATATTATTAATAACAATAACACTTTTATATTCATCTACATCTTCACCTTCATTTAAACCAATTCCTTTGATTTGATTAATAGATTCACTATAATTAACAAGATGAGGTGTTCCAACACTTTCATTTCCAATAAATCTTTTACTTAACTCTTCACCAACAACAGTTGGTTTTGGTAATGAAATAGTAAAAGATTCATTTGTTATTTCATTCATTATTTCTTTTGTTTTAATTGATTCATCAATTAGTTTAATCATTTCATGTGGTGGTGGTAATCCAATAAGATCATTAGGTAATTTTAATGCATTAACACAACGTAAAATGAGTTGTTGTCTAATTCCACCAGGTCTGGATGGTTCAATTTTTATTTTTCTTCCTTTCATTTCAAAATGGTTTAACTTTTCAATTGCTTTCTGTGCATTTCTTAAGTCATAATATTCAATAAATTTGTGATGTTTTTTATTTGGTGTCTCACGAATTTCTTTGATATCTCCATATCTTCCAAACACATCTTTTAATTGTGTATTTGTGATTGAATATTCAATGTTAAATACTACAATTGTTCCTTGATTTTGTTCATTATCATTTAAAACATCTTTTGCAATTGCATATGATACTGAATATTTATTTTGTAGTAATCTATATACTGTCTTTGCATCTCTTAGATCAAAGTATGAAATAAGAATAAAATGATATGAGTTTAAACATTTATCATAAACGGCTTTGATTGTTCCACTTCCTTTGATTTTGTTTTTAATGTTTTCATATTCATTTCTACAAATCCCTGAAACAAATATAATTCTACTTGGATGTTCACCACATTGATATTCTTTTAATGCTTCTAATTGCCTTCTAATTGTTAACAATGAAGTAGAATGTTATTGTGTATTTTCATGTAAATTCATTGATTTGGTATTTTTATTTGATTTATTACACTTTTTCATTGTGTCTTTTTATTAATTCAATCATTTATTTATTATTTTATTCTTTTCTTTCTTCAACTTTGTTTTAATGTTGTTACATGTTTTATTCTCATTTCATGAATTTAAACAAAACCAATATCATAAATCATCTGAGACATAATGAAGATATCATTCATTAACCATTCAATCAGTATTCTTTTATGTTTTAATAAATCTTATTTAAATAAACTAATACTAGATATAGAAATTTGTAAGTCATAACCACTTCAATATGGACAAAATGATTTAAGAATAATTCAATAAATAAATTAAAGGATGTGTTATGTTTGTAAATAATGAAAAGAATTGATTGAATGAAGATGTTTTATTTTAAAGAAAGATGAATAAATGAAGATAAACAATGAATGTATGATTTAGATATGAATTCAATAATAATATTCAATGAAGAAATTATATAACAATTATTCACATGGGATTAATAATTTCATGCTGATAAATTTCTTTTGATATAATAAAATTGATTTGACAATAAATAAATAGATTATAATTTGGTTTCTTTCTTTGGTTATAAAGAAGAATTGAAGTTATTTGAAGTTTTAAGTATTTAGTTCATTATTTAGTGTTCATTTGAAAAGATAACTGATAAAATATTCAAAAAGATTTCAATGAATAAATTGAGTAGTGTATTTGTCATTAGTTTCATAATCAATATCTCTATTTTCATCTTCAGACTTCTTAAACATAGTACATATTGTTTGACAATGATGGTTTGTGATAAAAATATTCTTTACAATATCAAATTCATCAGAATATTGAATGAAATAATATTTACTTGGTTTGCTATGAATAACTTCTGCTTTAATTATAGTGTATTCATTGTTTGTTAGTATAACAAATACATTTTTCATTATCACCAAATCACTAACACTTTCACTGCTTTGACACCACAGAAAATGGTTGAATGCTTCTACACTTAAAACACCTCCATAAACTTCCATACTTTTTATTCCTAATTTATCTCTAATTCCACTTCCTTCTTCGTTGATTGCTTGAATTATTTGTGTTTCTGCTTCTTCATGATACATTTCAATTATCATTTTTTCCTTTTTATCAATCAAATCCTTCACTTCTTTAAGTCGTAATGTTCCTCCTTGATTCATTTGATTTGTTACAACAAACATCTGACTTCCTTCACATTTTACTCGTTTCATTCGATGTACTTTCTCATCTTTAAGTCGACTATTATACATATCAACATATTTATTGTATTGTTCTGATGCTTTGACTAATAATCCAATGGAATCAAGATAATCCAAATAACTTTCATTATAAAAATATTCACTTTGTTTGTATTGTTTGATTACAATAGGAATATCATTGTTGTCAACTTTTATACTTCCTTTGATAGTAATTCTTTTTCCTTTATCATTGATAATATTCTTCATTGTGATTTGACATGGAATAACTCTGTATTCTTTTGTTCTACTTGCAAATATTCTCATCTTCTCATATTCCTCAAATATTGGTGTAATAAGAACTCCTTCGAGTTTTGTAACTTCTTCCATACAATTTCCTTGTATGTATGATGGTGGAATTAAACCATTTTGGAGTAGTGGTAAATCGTTGTAATTTAACATCACAAATGGATCATCATAGAATTTATTAGGATGAATGCATTGGAAAATAAAATATGGTTTTTGATTGAGACTGTTAATGATAGTGTTTTTCATTTGATCATTAATTTCATAATGATAGGAGTATTGTATTACTAAATCACATTTAGGAGGTATTTTTGTTAATGTAAATTGACTAGTTGGAAAAAAGTAAATAAAGAAAGACTGTTCAGGACAAACTTGAATACTTTGTTTTATTATTTCAATAAAATTGTCAAATGACTTCTCTTTACAAATTATTTCTTCTGTTCGTTTTTCTTGGTATGTCATGAGAGTATAACTTGGTTCTTCATGAATTCTTTTCAGATATGAATTAATTATTTCAAGTTGTTTATTAATATGTTCTGCCATTCTAACTACTTTCTCGTGTTGTTGTAGAATGACAATGATTTCTTTTGGTTTTGTGGTTCTAATATAATCAACTAATTTTCTTGTTCTTGACTTTGCTTCACTTTCTTCATTGAACTCTGTGATTGAGTCAATCATTTTAATCCGTTTTTCACTCTCATTTAACTCTTCAAAACTAACTTTTTTAGAATTAATTGTAGTGCTACTTGGAATCATTTATTATTCTTATTTCGAGTTTTTAGTTCTTCTTTATTTTTATCACTAAAGTCATCTTAATTGAACTGTACCCATTTAGTATTTCTTTATAAATGTCCTATATCTATATCCCATTTAATCATTTGTATCTTTGTCATTATTTTCAGTTGAATTGAATGGTATTCTTGAATTAGTTCATATGCTTTGAATTTCACATTTAATAAACAACAACATTTACTCATCATTCAACAAATGATAAATATATGCAAATACTATTACAATTTATTGTTGTCATTATGTTCTGTTGAATTAGATATTTCTGTATTTCAATAAAATGAATCAGAGAATTAAATAATAAACAAAATACTGGTAAACATAGGATAAAATCTGAGAATAGATTAATGGTATGTTCATTAAAACTTAGAGTGTTGAGTGATATACAATTTAATACAATAAAATTGATGATTAGTTAATATTCTATATATAATCAAATTGTAAACAGTATCATACAATGAAGACATTAATTAATATTCCAGTAATGAATGAAACAATGTTTTATTTTCCTTAAAGAAATAAAAAAATGATTAAAAATATTAATCAACAATGATGATTTTACTTCAATTCTAAATTAATTAAACACTAATACAATATAAATCAATTAATGTATTCTTAAACAAATAGTTGAATTGTAAATGGAAAGATAAAATAATTAAGTATGGTAGAGATTAAGAATTTGATTTCTGATTTGTTTGGATTTAAAAATAAAAATAAAATCATTTTAGTACTAGTCGTCAAAAGCCTTATTGGTTTTAATAAAATATCTATGAAAGAAGTTATAACTTAATTAATAAATCAATTATAGTCCCTATATTAATTTAGTTGTTCCAAGATTTTTGTTAATCTACTTATGATTTCTGAACAACTTAATCTTTTATCAGGTCGTTGCACCCAAGACTCTTGAATTAGTGATTGTAAATTTTTATCGTTGATACATTCTAGGGATGGTCGTTCTCCTGAACTAATCATATCACAAATACACCATGGTTTAATATTTGACGTAAAAGCACTTCCCCATTTAAAGCATTCATACATTGTTACTGCATATGAATAAATATCGGCCATTGTTTTGTAATGGTCTTTATTTAATATTTCTGGTGCCATATACTTTGGTGTTCCAATTGCTTTGGTAAATGTCATATTAGTCATTAACATATTAATGTTTCTTGATGCTCCAAAGTCTGTTAATTTACAATTTATATCAACGGTAACATCCAAAGAAAATACCAAGATGTTACCAGGTTTAATATCTCTATGTAATATTCCATTTGAATGAAGATATTCAATACCTTTAATGCTGTCTAACATAAATTTAATTCTTAATTTCATAGATACTTCACTTTCATCTTTTTTCTTCATTAAATCTTCTAATGACCCAAATTGTGCAAATTCAGTTACAATACAAATCTTGTTTGGTACAAATACAGCTCCGTAAAAATAAACAACATAATCACACCTAAACTTATCTAACATTGTAACCTCTTTTTCAAATTCCTTTAATGACTCATCTCCCATATTTTTAAATTTCTTAATAACAACAGTAGTTCCTCTATATTTTCCTTTAAAAACTATACCAAATGATCCTTCTCCAATAACTTTCTCTGAAATAATTTCATTTGGATTAAGTCTTGGTGAGTATTTAGTTTTTCCTTGAATAGGAATTTTAAATACTTCAGTTTTATTTGATTTAAAATCATAACTTATAAAAGAAAGAGTATCATCTATTGTAAGATTACACAATGGGTTAATTATTAATTCAAATTCACACCCTTGACCATTTTGTAAAACGACACACTCAGGATTAACTTTTATATTTAAATTTATTTCTTGTGAATTATTATGTGTAAATTGAACTTTCTTTGTACTATGAGAAATATTACCAATACAAAACAGTGCTCGATTCTCTGAAGCTACTGTCATTTCATCTTCATACTGAATTACTTTTTGGTTAACAATAATTGAATTTGAATTATCTGCTTTTATCCAAAGTGAATTTGAATATTTAATATTGAAAATTGTATTTGAACCTTGTTTTTTATTTTGAGAATACTTTGTAGCTTTACCAATAATAATTCTAATAAACACTAGTAATATTATTATTGTTATCACTGTTAACACTATCCCTCCAATAATAACCAATACAATAACCCACCAAACTGGTGAACTCTTACACTCTTTTCCATCAACATCAACTGAGTACCAGAAATCACATTTACTACACATATTATTACGAGCACTAACACAATGAGAGAATTGTGAATAATGACTACATTTGTAGTCAACATCTAAAATATAATCATTATTACATAAATTACATCTTCCATTTTGTTTATTACAACTAATACATTCATCAGTTCTTTTATCACAAGATAAACATGTGTAACTATTTAAGAAATATCCATCTTCACATACTTCACATCCAAATCTATTTGTAGTCTCACAATTAGAAAGTAAACTTGTGGAAAGACATTTTTGTGTTTTTATATCAAAATAATAATTGTCTATACACATTAAACAACCATTTGCATTTGCACATGAAACACAATTTTCAATACATTTTGAACATACTTTTCCATCTCTATAATATCCATCATTACAAATAGCACATTGTTGAGAACTTTCACTTATTAACATCATCTTACAATTTGTAGTTTCGGAGACAATACATGATTCTCCTTGAAGAATATATCCAGATTGACATTCATAACATGAGTCTTTTGAATTAACACATTTAGAACAAGTAGCATTACATGGTAAACACTTGTTTTGATTATTGTAATATCCATCAACACAACTTCGACATACACTTTTTGTATATAAGGAACAAAAATTGTCATTTTGTTCTGAACATATTGTGTTCCCATCAGAGTCTGTTGATAAGTAATATTTTTCTTCTGTTTCTGAGAACAAACACTCAACACATGTTCCATCATTGTTAGTTTTTAAACAATGCTCTGTTCCACTAACACACCCCTTTCCATTAAAATATTTAGATGAATCATCACAACTCAAACAAGTGGACTTTGACACTACACTACATGAAACTGATTCTTTAGAAACACACACCCCACTAGTTGTCATGATATAACCATCAACACAACTACTACAAAAAACATTATTAGAAACTGAATAACAAGTCATACAATGTAATCCACCAGAACTACAGGAAACACATGTAGAACTTTCTGATAAATAATATCCTGGAGAACATTGAATAATTCCTGAATTACTTACACTAATTGAATTAGAAGGAACATCACATGTTGTTGAACTTTTAATTGCATTAACACTTATATCACAAATATCACAGGATAACCCATCGAGACATGAATAACAATTATTCCCACATGATGTAGAACAACGTGTGTGGTCATTATCTATCATCATTCCCTGAGGACATTTCAAACAAATACTATTCTTTGAAAAAGAACATACTTTGATATCTTGAATACATTTATTAATATCTGATTTATCATTTATGTATTCATCTTCACAAATAAAACATTGTTTTGAATCACAAGTTAGACAATTTAGTTGACATGGATAGCACTCCCCTTTGTCCATATAATACCCAGTGTTACATCTTAGGCAATATTTACTCTTGGGAGAAATAAGAGCACAATTATTAACATCTGTTGATGATGCAACAATACAACTTCCATCAGAATTAAATCCATATCTACACTTCTTACAAGTCATTCCACTTGATGTTGAATAACCAATAGAGCAAATTCCATCGACTTCTATTAGATTTGATGAAATAGTAATTCCGCAAGAAGATGTATCAGCAATAATTAAGTTCTGATTATTTTCTCCTTTAGTAATAATTGAATATTTACCATTTGTTTTTGCCAACACTGAATTCCCATTGCCATCAATCACAACATTTGCTTGAAGAGTTAATGGTAACTCATAATTTGAAACAGTTATTGTTGTTGGTGAAACAACAAATATATTAGAATAATATTCATCATTATCAATGGTAATTGTTGATGCTGATATATATAACGTTGATGTGACATATTGAGATATATGTCCTGGACATGAATAATCAAAAAATGAAGATGACTCACTCTCATAGTAATACTGACTTTCGTCTCGCTTATAACATGTTTTTGTTCCATATCCCTTTCTGTCACATGATTCATCATCAGGAGTTCCAAATATTGCTATTTGTCCATCACACATTGTTTTCATCGAATTAGTAAATGTAACTTTTCTTTCTTTCAATGACATTAAATAAAAAGGATCTTCTTGACCAGATGCCGAGTTAATTGTTACTTTTAGTTCATTTTTACTTTTTCCTGTGATAATAAAGAAGCTTGGTAGTGCGAATTGAATTTCAATCGAATCAATGACTAATGTTGTTACTGAGTCACTCAAAGTCAATTGACTATCAGTTGTTAATTTATTAATGTAAATTGAATTTACATTTGGTCCAAATATAAGATTAGAAACCTTGAGACTAAGCTTTGTTGTTGAAGTAAATTCATTAATAGTTGTTTTGTATTGGTTAATAATTGTATAATCTGTGTTTGTTTGTGTTGATGGATCTACAGAAACACTATCAATTGTAATAACAGATGAAAGTATAATTTTTGCATTTTGACTGATTATTAATTTATTTAATTCACTTAAAACACCTATGATATTGACTTCTGATGATGTTATGATTGAACTAATGGTAAGACTATTTTCATTTGGTGCTGTGATACTAATTTTGTTTGTATTTGTTTCCAGTGTTATTATATTTAATTCTCCTGAAGACACAATTGCAATAGTGGTGTCTGATTGAAGAATAAGCTTAGTACATGTTAATTTCCCAACCAGAGTTATTGAGCCCCCAATCTGACAATTAGATGCCATAAGTGTTCCAGAAAATTGACCATCATCTGGTGCATAATTTATTGAATACCAATAAGAATTTGACTCTTGGAAAGAATTTGATTTAATTGTTAATGCAATTGACTCTTTATTTAATGCATCTACTGTTGAACTTATTTCTGAACAATCACTAACATCATATCCATCAGAATATACACAACCACATTGAATTTGAGAATCTGATTTAACAAACCTTTTAGAATTCCCACAACTTACACTTTTGATATTCCCATTGTTTGATTTTAATTCTTTACCTGTAAACAACACTGTGTCTGTAGTGATAGTAGAATAATCAATTGTTTCAGCTGACAACTCTTTAAAATAATGATTTCCTGATTCTACATTTGATAGTACTAAAGTGTTAAATGAGACGTACCCATCTACACGTATTGGTTGATTTGGAAGAGTAACAGAAGGACCACTAACATTAAGAATATTTGTTTCTGAAATGATAATATCAAGTGGACTTGTTCTTGTCTCAAAATATATGTCATTCCATTCCAATCCATAATCATTTAAGAAACGAATGGTAGTATAATTATTAGACACTGTCAATGTGTATAACGACCCATTATACAAACAATCCGGATAATTAAGTGTTAACCATGAAATATGTGCATCTGTTGACCCGGTTGTAATTTTACATGATGAGTCAGGTTGTGGTTCTTCAGACTGGGACTTTTGTCCTTGACAAATGACATATCTTCTAAACCCATTAATATTTGATACCTCTTTAATAACTCCCCATTTAATATCTGGAAGTTTTTGTTCTCCATTTGTATTAAATGCATACCAACATCCTTCTTTGGTGTTGTCATTGTTGTTGTCATTTATCCATATTTCTTTTTTCTCTTTATCATTCTTTTCTTGGTACAAATACAAGTATGGACGGTCTTTAGTTACCCAAATTAGAAAAGTCTTAGAACATAGTGTTGTATGAAACACTGCAGGTCTATCATAAATGTAAAGGTTTTCTTGATTTGCTGTATCACTAAAACAGTATTCCCTTTCAACAATAATATAGAGTAATGACTTGTAATTTTGAAGTTTAAAAGTTGTAGCAGCTGCAAATTTAGGAGGTCTTACAAATAATTGTTTAATGGAAGCGTCTGAATCAAAAGTAAATTCAGTTGAGCCAGCTTCATTGATCAGAATACTCAAATAAGATAACCCATTTTCACAACAATCTGATTTAAATCTAAACTTTTTAGGATTTGAATTCCTGTCATATTCCCACCCTTTTCCTGAAGAAACACATTGACTAAAAGGATACTTGCCATAATTTAAAACATTCTTATCTGAATTAAAATATATGTAGCACTGATCCGAAATAGCAAATTGAAACAAGAATAAGATAAAAAGGAACATAGAAAATTTTTAGATCTATTCTTTTATGAACTTTAATAACCCAATGATTTTATAATTACTTAATAATTCTCTTGTTACTTCTTCAATTTACAGTTAATAACGGTATTAAAAAATAATACACGAAGAGATATTTTTTATTTCTAATGATATTTAAAACTAAAAAAATAAAAAACTAAAAACAAAAATCTAAGAAATTTTATATTTTTATTGAGAAATGAATATAATGTTATTATTACTCATTCCATTTGTTCTTAGCAATGATCTTTTTAACTCAGAAGATCTTGACTTATTAGATGATGAATTTCTAGATTTATTTGATGACGAACTTGATAATGAATATGAATTAGATGATTCATTGGAACTAAAGTACAATGACTTCGTAGGATATGGAGGGTATTTTGGTTATTTCCATCCACTCCAATATCATGGCTATTATCCAGGATATCCACTTTTGTATCGTCGACTTGGACAGTACTAACTATTTTTTGTTATTCAAGATATTTGTGTTATTTCTTTTATAAAATTTGAATATCTAATTTTAGAAAAAAATAGTTCCAAATAAAAATCAAGATCCAATAATGAGTTCTTCTTAAATAGGGAAATGGGGAAAAAGAAAAAAGAGATAAGAAATAAGAGGAGAGATTAGAAAAAAAGGAATAATACGGGAAATTAAAGAAAAATCCTAAAAGATTAGAAGAGAACTAACAAGGGGAATAAAGAATGATAAAGAATAATAAAAAATAATAAAAAGAATAATAAAAGAACAAGAAATTCAAAGAACAAAAAAATCATATTTTAATGAAATTCATTGGTATTGTGTTTTTGGTTTTTATTGCTAGTGCTTTAGCTCAATCAAGTGGATTTTGGACACCAACATTGTACAAAGTTAGAGAAAGATTAAGTGAAGTTGCCATTCGTATTGATGAAGTAGAAGATGACGAAAGACATTATGGAGATTTGATTGATAAGAGTATTGTTGATTTAAAGAGTGCTATTACCAAGAGAGAGAAGTATATAATTGGTAGAAGACTTACTCATCTCAGAGCCAAGTTAGTTGTTTTCAACCAAAAGAAATTATTACTTCTCAGAGCACTTAAGAGGATTGTTTCTGCTGTTCCAAGAAAGTTCAGAGCTAAGATGATTAGATCATTAAAGATTGAAAAGAGATTTGTTGCTATTAGAGATATCGAAAGAGATGCTAAACGTATTTTAAGCCCAAAGAAAGCTATTACCCATAAAAGTAGTACTAAAAAGACTTTAAAAAGACTTGGTCACGGAATTGCTAAAAATGTTAAAACCGTCAAGACCACTAAGATTTCCAAGATCAAGAAGAATTAAACAATTAAATTGATAAAATTTACATTCTTCTGTTCATTGTGACTTTTTTTGTTTTGATTATTCTTTTAAAAATATGATTAGTCAATAAAGATATTTTCCATCTTATTTTAAGGTATTTTAAATTATAAGAAATTCTATTATTCAATGAGGAAAACATCTCGATTGCACAGAAAAATAATTTTTATTTTTCCGTAATTAATATTTCTTTAGAACTCTCTTTAAAAGAGGCATGAAAAATGAGAAGAGAGGAACTTGTTTGATATTAATCATTTCATCTTAATTCATCTTCTATTTTTCATTAATTTAAACAAAAAGACAAATGAAAATAATAAAAATACAAAAAAGATAATTTTTTAGAAGTCGTAAATTAGTAATTTTTCATAAAAAATTTATTTACTGTTTTTACATGTAAGAATGATTATAAAAAAAAAGAATCTATTAAATTAAAAAAAAAAACAAAAAAATTATTTTAATTTGATAGAGAATAACATAAAGTGACGAAAAGAAAAGTATATAACTTATGGTATTAAGAAATTTCTTATAAAAGTGTTAGTAAACACAATACAGAGAAATGAGTTAAAGTAGCTCTAAGTAAAATAAAGAATGCAAAAAGTGAAATTAGTTATTGTTTTATATCAATGAAATTTATTAATATTAACAACAATTATGAGTATCTTCAACAACAGGAATAGCTTCATCAGTAGAACAATGGAATTGAGAAATATCAACTTTATCAAGTATATTATTAAAAGCCTTATCAACACCTAAAAAAATAAGTTTTTTAGATTAATTAATCTTTTAATGAGAGTTACAACAAACTATCTCCTTCAACTGATGTAACTTCAGCAAATAAACAACCAAATTTTGTTGCAAGATTTTCACCTTCAATAGTTTTAACTACTCTTTGAGTTGATAAATCACTTTTTGTTCCAACAATTTCAATGACTAAAAAATAAATATATATTATTTAACACATCTTTATTACTAACAAACGGATATTTTCACAGTCTTGTTCTGATTTTATTTGGTTATACCAACTTTCAACACCTTCAAATGATTGTCTGTTAGTAATATCATAAACAATCATACATGATGAAACTCCTCTATAATACATTGAAACCATAGATCTAAATCTTTCTGAACCTGCAGTATCCTATTAATTTCAATGAGACACATTAGAATTAATATATAAATCTAACAAACCCAAATATTTAAATCAATTTTTTTACCTTTGACTTTACAAGTTTTCGTAAGGAAATTTACACCTAAAGTAGATTTACAAGATGGATCAAATATACCTTCAACATATCTTAAAACAATACTGGTTTTTCCAACACCTAATTCTCCAAGCATACAATGTTTAAATTTTCTAACACTCATTCTGATAAATTATTTATTTAAAGTTTTACAAAGAGAAAGGTTTATTGAAAGAAAAATAAAAGAAAGTTTTAAATTTTTAAGTTATTTTCAATAGTAAAAACACGATAAGAACCAAAATCATTAAATTTTTTTTGTAAATTATTTAATTAATTAGTAATGAGTTCAAATGCCATTTCTTTCTCATTTTTGGCTAATATTTTTTGATAAGTATTATATTCACATTGCTTGATTATCATAATAAATAAACCATATACAAAAAATAAAAATCCAAATATTAATATAATAATCACTACTGGAACCCAACTAAATCCACACTTCCCAAACGTTTTTCTATTTGCTATTGTACAATTACTTGATGCTGGATATGAACAATATGATTTAAACGATTGTTCACACCATACACATCCACGTGCAACTGGTCTAAATTCATCTCCTTGAACTTCAGTACATGATGTGCATAATGTATATGTTTCACATTTAGGAAATTCTTCTCCATTACTCAAACAATAAAAAAGAAGAATAATAATATGAATTAAATGATTCTTCATTGATTAATCATTTATAAGTTCTATTAAAAACAAAATTTGATGGTTCTTCCATTCTTTAAATGCCATTTTAATTCTTCTTATCTCTTTGTTATGTAAACCCATTAAAATCAACGGTAAAACTTTTTAATTTAAATAGTAGTCAATCAAAATTTTAATTAAAAGAAATGCATTTTTAAACAAGAAGATTTCATTGATTTGCTTGGTTTTGATTTACAGGTAAATTTAAATCGTTGTCCCATGGTTTTCTTCCAAGCTTTGGTCCATTATCAATTCTTCCTTTTGCATCTTCTACAGTCCATGGCTTTTCCTTTTGTACTCTTTTAACTTTTGATTTATGTGGTCCTTGTGTGCAATGTTTTAAATAAACAGCTTGTGAAATAAAATGTTTGTCACATACTCCACAATAAAATTGCCCAAATCCTGGTTTGTCTTCATCAATAGGTAATGCTTTAGCCATTTCTCCATTAACGTTCATTTCTCCATTTTTAATAGCAGAAACAATTTGATCAAAATCTTTAGTTTTATGTTTCATACTAAGTCTCTTATGAATTCCACCAGTCTCTCCTCCTTTTCTTTTTGACTTATGAACCTTCTTTCTTCTTTGTGGCATTTGTTAATGAAATAAGATGAAGCAATAGGGTTTTTTAACAATCTTATCACTCACTTCTTTATAATAAAAATAATATTATTATTTTATTATATTTTTAAGATTAAAAATAATCAAAATTGATTTAATGATATAACAAGTAAATATAAGTCAGATATAAATTGATTGTTTTGTCTTCTACCACCCTTGAGCATGGATTTCATCGTTATCATCTTCTTCTATAAATTCATCACATAAACATTCTTCTGTATAATCAAATGAATTTCCATTAATTGAAGATAGTTTTTTACTCCCAAGAAATACTTGAGATAGACTTTCTTTTTCAATACAATTTGTTGGTATTCTTATTGAAGTAAGCTTTGTACAATTAGAGAAACAACTTTCTCCAATGCTAATAACACTATCAGGAACATATATTTCTTTAAGTGAAATGCAGTCATGAAAACAACGTGTTCCAATAGAAGTGACTGACGTTGGAATTTTAATTTCAACTAAATCTGTACAATAGGCAAAACAATAATCAGGTAAATTGGTAATAGATGAAGGGATAACTATTTTCTTCAAATTACCACATAAACAAAAAGCACTTTCTCCCAAAGAAGTGATTGTTGATGGAATAACAAAACTTGTTGTTTTAAATTCACACTCTTTATAATATGAATCACCAATAGAAGATATAGATGGAGGTATTTCATTACAAGAAAAGATTAAGTCATCTCCATTAATTAATTCTATATTAGTACAAGTAATACCAGTCTCTTCTAATAATTGAGATACGTGATAAGATACTTTAAAATTAATTTCGTTTTTTCCATGAAGAAATATTCTTTTTAATTTACTACATCTCATTAAAGCACTGACATCAAATAATTGTAAATTCTGAGGTAAAGAAATTGAAGTTAATGAAGAACATTCATTAAAAGCCATTTTACCAATTGATGAAACATTATCTGGAATTGAAATTTTTTCAAGAGCCCTACAAAGAGCAAAACCAGACTCATCTATTGACTCAAGACATTCAGGTAATTCAACTTCTTTCAAAGAGAAACATCCACAAAATGCTCTCGTAGGAATTTTTTTAATAGATGAAAGAGTAATTTTTTGAAGAGATTCACAGTCATTAAATGAATTACTACCAAGATATGTTACTGTAGGAGGAAGGTTTATTGTTTTTAATCTCATACATGATTTAAATGCATTATCTTCAATTGAACGTAAACACGATGGAAGAATAACTTCTGTTAACATAACACATCCCCAACACAACCCACTTGGTATTGTTAACATATGTGGAGGAAGAATGAGTTTATCTAAATTAACACATGAAAAGAATTCCATTTCTTCTAAATTTGTTAATTCTTCAGGAACTTCAACAGCAAGTGGTTCAGTTGCTTTAAAAACAAATTGGCGTAATGTTAAATTTGTTAATGGTTTCTTTTCCATTTGATGATCACTCATTTTCCTACTTTGATTACTTTTAAGATTTTAGGGCTCTTTTTATTGATTTATTTGATTTTATCCCAAATTCCTTTCACAAATAATTCATGAAATTCATATTTTTTCGTTTTTTCTATTTTTTTTTACTTTAAGAACTGAAAATCTTTTGCGAATTTCTTCACTTCATTTCACTTTTTTTAAATTATTTAATTTTATTATAATTTTTTATTAATTATTAATCATAACATTGCTTTTTCCCATTCAATAAACGTTCAATTTTGTTCAAGTAATTTAAAACCCCCTTGATTTTTGCAGTTACTCCCTTAAAAACACAAATAAATTATTTTTGTTATTAATAACTAATTTTAAATACAAATGATATTATCAAAAATGGAAGTTATTTCTATAAAAAGACAATAAATAAAATAAAAAGAAAAAATAAAAAAAATCTTAAAGAAATAAACCATAAATCACAACAAAATCCACTAGAGTTAAGCATAACCAAATTTCTTGAGGATAGCTACTTTAGCCTTATACTTTTCATCTGCAAGAATCTTTTCTTTAGCTTCAGCAACAGCCTTTTGTTTCAATTGTTTTGCAGCATACCATTTGGCTGCTCTTTCTTTTCTTTCTGCTTCATTCTTAGCAACAACATCAGCATATTTCCATCCAACAGCAGTTCCAAGTTCTCCAAGAAGAGTTCTCTTTCTTGTTGGATTAAATGAATAAATAGCAGCAGCTTCTGGAATTGATGATTTCTTCATTTTGTCATATGGTGCTGGGCATCCTTCAAAACATTTAAGATTCTTAAGAGCAAGTTTTCCTCTGTAATTGTTCTTTGGAAGCATTCCTCTAACAGCTTTACGAACCATATCAGCTGGTGAACGATGATGGAAAGCACCACGAGTTGGATTGGTGTTAACTCTTTTTCTTTGATAGAGTTCCCATTGAACTAATCTCATTTTGAGTGTTCCACATACTTGGAGATCTTCACATCTAACAAGTACAATCTTTTGTCCAAGAAGGAGATGTTTAGCAACAACTGATGCAACACGTCCAAGAACGTGTCCATGGCAATCGATTACAGTGACTTTGTTGTTAGTAGACATTTGTACACTGTCTTCAGAGAATTATAAGATGAATACCCTATTTTGTTTTTTTATATTTCAAATTATATTTTATTATAATTTTTATTATTTCTTCCTTTTTTGTTTATAAATATTTTAATTGAAATTTATAGAAAACTGTTATATAAAATAAAATTGAATAAATTGATGAATAAATGTATTTCATTTTAAAGACTTTTAAACCCTTTTTTTTTTTTCAAAAAATAAAAAGATAAAACAAAAAATATGAAGAAATTGATAGTTTTAGAAAAGAGGGTTTTCAACTTATTTATTAAATCATAAAATGAGTAAGAAAGGTGGACGTAAGAATAAGAAGGTGACTAAATTAATTATTGGTGAAGAAGAAATTAATAATGTAGATGACCTTTTAACTACTTACGTTGAAGAAAAAAAAGGAGTAAAACCAAAAGAATCTTCTGATATCTATGTCCCTAATTTTGCTAATCATCAAGAAAGACAACAAAGACAACCACGTGCTGAAGGTGAAAAAAAAGAAGATGATGGGTTGTGGACTGTCAGACATGGACATGGCCATGACTTCAAGAGACGCCCCCCTAAAAGAGATAGAGAAGAGGCTGGTGAACCTCAACCTAGTGAGGCTGATACAGCTGATTCATGGAGAAGAAAAGAAGGAGAAGAATTCGTACCTAGAAAAGGAGGTGAAGGTGCTGAAAGAAATCAAAGAGAGTTTAGAGAACATGGACCAAGAGAATCTAGACAACAAACTGGACCAAGTGAGGCCGATACAGCTGACTCATGGAGAAGAAAGGACGGAGAGGTGTTTGTCCCTAGAAAAGCACCAACTGAATTTAGAGAACACGAGCAAAGAGAACCTCGACAACAAACTGGACCAAGTGAGGCTGACACAGCTGATTCATGGAGAAGAAAAGAAGGTGAAGTATTTGTTCCAAGAAAAGCACCAACTGAATTTAGAGAACATGAACAAAGAGAACCTCGACAACAAACTGGACCAACAGAAGCTGATACAGCTGATTCATGGAGAAGAAAAGAAGGTGAAGTATTTGTTCCAAGAAAAGTTTCACATGAAGAATATAGACACGAAAATAATGAAAGACAGCACAAAGGATTCAAAGAAAGAGAAGCACCTCAACCAAGTGAAGCTGATACAGCTGATTCATGGAGAAGAAAAGATGATGACGGGTTTGTTCCTAAAAAAACATATGAAAGAAGATATGAGAATACAGAAAAGCCACATAGAGAGTTTGGAGAAAGAAGAACAGATGATAGAGGAAAGAGAACATATGGACCTAAAGATGGTCAACATCAAAATACAAAGAAAAGTACTCAACATATAAAACAAGGTAAAAAGACTCCAAAGCAATCATCTAAACCTGTTGTTGATGAAGAAGGATGGATGACTCAATAAAATATGAAGAAATAACATTTGTTAAGCAAATTTTTAAAGAAATCAAGAATATTTTTAGTTTTCATTTAAATTTATAAATGAAAAAGTATACATACAAATCAATTATATTTCATCACATAATCAAATAACTGAAGGATTTGTTGATTTGTTTGATATTCTAAAGGAAGAGTATTTATGAGTTTCTTTTTTAAAGAGGTATCAATTAATTGATTATTAAGTAAAGTTTTTACAATTGTAGTAATAATAGTTGTCATTTTAAGTGCTAAGTCTTGTGATTGAGGATGAATAGGAATTGTTTTTGGTTTAAAAGAATTACGAGTAATTTTAGATGGTTTAGTTATAATTTTTCTTTTGATATTAGAAAAAGAAGGACAAACCAGGAGAGATTGATGAGGAATAAAAGTAGGTTCAAAGTTTAATTCTTTTTTTATACGAACTAGTGATAGGTTATTATTGAAATAAGGTAAATTATTAAGTAATGATAATAATTTATGATCACTAAATTCGTTTGATTGGATAAGAGTATAAGGGACTAAAATGTATTTTGATTGTTGGTTATTCCATATTGATTGTTGTAACAAAATTAAATAATTTAATTTTCGTGGATAAACTACTACTATTTTTCCTTTTCTTACAACTCCATTTACAAGAACATTAACATATTGCCCAACTGAATATAATGATTCTCTATTAGATTTAAGAGGTTCTGTTGTTGTTTGAAGTTTTTGTTGTAATTTTTGTGCTTCCTCTTTAATAAATTTTTTTGAAAGAACAGGAGGTAATTTTCTTTTACTACGTTCATTATTTTTAATGTGAGACGTTTCAATAAAAGTAAGCATTTTTTGTGATCCAGGATATTGTGATACTTTTGCTTGATCAATAATTTTTTTTGTTGAATCACTAACAAAGAACTCAGCTGTTAGTGTTTTATTTTTTATTTCTTGATTTAAAGACTGATCACTAAACATTAAATTCAAAGCATCTTGCATTTGATTATATTAATTATTATTTTTAAATTAGTTTTTATTTTAGTTTTTTATGAAATATTAATGAAATGAAATATTAAAAATTTTATTTTATTAAAAAGTTATTATTATATTATTATTAAATTTTTTTTTAACTCTTTTTAATTGAATTAATGAAATTTTTGAAACATTATTTTTTCTCATTCATTATTATTTTCTATATTATGTTTAATTATTGAAAAATTATTTAAATTTATTTTAACTTATTTAATGGTTGTAATAAGAATTCTTTAAAGAGTTTAATTTAAATATTTAATTGTTGTTGAAGTAATAATTAAACAATAATATAATCAAACACAGACTAACTTTAAAAATTAAAGTTCTTATTGTTTGTTTTGAGTAAAGAAAGTAAATAGAACGAAAATAAACAAGAGTTTCAAGAAAAATAAATAATTGTGTTTTTAAATCAAGAAAAATTAAAAAAATAATAATAAGAATATTCTTATTATTTTTTATATTTTTATTCATTTGATTAGATTCAATTTTGTTAAGAGGATTTTATCTCATAAATTTATTTTAACACCATGGACACCATCCACAATACATTTTTTTAAGATTATCCATATCAGCTGCTTGACTTATAATTTCATTTACTTGTCCTTCAACACTATAACTTTGTCCACCTTCAATCCCCATAAGTTTTTCTTTGGTATTAAACATAATACTTTGATATGATTTCATTTCATTTAGTTTTTTGTCTTCTTTATTTTGGTTTTGTTTTTCATCTTTACCTTTAATTTGTTTTAAGTATGTTTCAAAAGCTTCATCAGTCCGTTTTTTAGGTGGTGCAGACAATACAGCTTGAAGAATTGCTAATACAAAATCTTTATTATCTCTTAGAATTCGTAACACATTTTCGCAACACCTTTTAAATGGACCGTCATACTTTAAAACACCCATAGGATCAAGAATTTCTCTTGTTAATCTGAAAGGTACAATTTCTGGGATAGGAAGTTTTTTTCCATATTCAAAAACGATTCCAAAATCAATATGAATAACTTCTGCTGTAGCTTCATCAAACATAATATTATTGTTATGTCTATCTCCAATACCAAAGACATAACCAATTATTGATGTTACAGCTGTACTATTTATATAATTTAATTTCATGTCATATAAATGTTTTGGATCTTTACCATATAATTGATCAAAAAGATTATGAAATGATGGTGTATAAGATTTAATACACTTATTAAATACATCAAAATAATTATCTAAACAACGATTAATTCTAAAATTTTTATGTGCTTTTTCTAACTCTGACATTGTACTAGAAAACGTTGGTTCTTCAGGGTGAATTGAATCATGTGTTTTAGACAATTCAACAAACAAAGGCTCTGTTCCTGTAACAAATTCTAACATTCCACTTTCTTTACTTAATGGAATAACTTTATATGTTCTAATTCTTAATTGTTTTGTTTGTTGATGTTGTTTAAATAAATGATTACATAAATCAAAGAGTTGTTGCATTACAGCATCTTGTCGAAGGTCATCTTCACTTTTTAGAAGGAATGAATATTTTTTATTATCACTTCCTAAAAATTCCATTTTCTTTGGAGCTCTAATTCCTCCAACTAAAGAATAAAAGTTTGATATTCCAGTGATGCTTGGACAATTATCTCCTGTCATAGAACATGTTGGGATAGATACTAATGGATATGATTTTCTTGCAAAAGAACTTTTCCTGAACTAGACCCACTTTGTAAATAAGCGAAATGAATTAACGAATGTGATAATTCATGCATTTGACTTAGTATTGATGAAATATTTTCTTTAGAAGAAAGTTCATCAAGAAGGTTTTTTGCACATAAGGGAGGTTGTTTTGGTTTTTCTGGATGGTAATTAGAGTTATATAACATAAGAATATGCCAAAGTGTTTGTTGTGGATATTTTAAAGCAATTTGATAAATGATTTTATTTAAAACCTTTGACATATCAGGAACAGAGTTATTCATTTTTGCAATTAATTGGTATGAAACAGAAAGTAATTTAGATAAATCAATAGCATCATTATTTCTTAAGAAATAATTTGATATTGTAGAATTAATATTATTATCATTTTTACAATTAAACCATATTGATAATATTCTTAATACTGAATATAGGTCATAATTATTAGATAATTTTAATGCTTGACAATAATTAAGAATAGCATTTTGATGAAACAGTTTAATATTGTATTCTCTTGATAATTTTTCATTTTCAAATAAATTAATTTCATTTGTTAATTTTGCTTTCATATTGTTTTTTGATTTTTGATCAAATAGTTTTATTTTTTCATTACCTGATTCTAACATTTTTAGTTGAGATTTTTTATCTTCAATTAATTGTTCTCTATCATGTACAATATTACTTTTATTATACTCATCTATTTCTTGTGCTTGAAGGTCATAATATTGAGCAACTCTAAAATGGATTTTTGATAATGTTTCTTTTTTAACATTATTATTATCACTTTCTTTAATTACTGCTTCAATTCGTTGAATTAATTCAGTCATTTCTTCTCGTTTATCAGAACGAATTTGTGATTTAAATTTAATACTTAATAATACAGTTTGTGGTTCATTTGAATTTTTTAATGCAAGTAACGCTGTATCATGATATTCTTGTTGATATTTAATTTTAGCATATTCTCTCCACCAATTTTCATCTCTTTCATTAGTAGAACATAATAAAGTAAGATATGCCTCATTTGAATAGCCCCATTTTCTTGCATATTTGCTTTGTGTTAATGATTTATCAGGAATCTTACATACTTTACTTACTTCAAATAATTTTTTTATTAATTGATAATCAACGTCACATTCTTTGATCCAATCAACACCCTCTTCTATTACACTAACACAATTTCTTGTTTTCACAATATCAACAATTAAACAATCAACAATTGAAGAACTTAATTGTTCTTTAGAGTCTTCTTCAATAAGCCCATGTTTTAGTGAATCAAATGCTTTTTTAGAAAATAAATTTAGTGCATCTTTTTCATTAAATTTAAGAGCTTTCCAAAGGTTAAAGTCTTTATTTTCATTTAAAGAAGTATTATAACTAATAATATTTCCCCAGTCACTCATTGTTCTCCATGCAATAGAATAATCTAAGTCAGTTACCTCTGTTTGTGAATTAAAATTAGTTAGTACTTCTGCACAATGATATAGCCCATTATTTCTTAATTCAGTTTCAATACCTTTTCTTTCTGCTTCTGCAAGTAATAATCTTCCAAACCCATCTTCTAAATTAACATCAACTTTTCTACTAATAATTTGTTTAATAGATTTAAAATCATTAATATGTTCTAATGATTGTTCTATTAAATCTAAATTAGTTATTTCTTGTGGACGTTCTACATATATTTTATATTTGCCATTATAAGACGTTGTAAATCTTAAACTCTCAGAGAATTTAATTCCACTAAATGAATAATTCCAACGTAATGAATCTTGAATTAATTGAGAAAGATCGAATAATTGATATAATTTTGATGTTAATGTATAATATCTTGAAATAAATGGTAATAATACTTTTCTTTTTTCCTCATGTGATATCTGGCTTAAAATAAAATTAACTAAATGATCAGTAGGATTTTTTGTAATTTCATAAATACATACATTAATAACAAGTTTAGAAGAGAAATTATCTTTACAACATATTTGTTTAATTGTATTTTTAATTCTTTCATTTCTGTCATACATTAAATCAATAAGTTGTATACTTAAATTATTAATTATATCTTGTGGATGTAAAGAATCAAATTTTATTAATTCAAATGAACTGCTTTGAATTATAGCATCTATAATTCCATTAAATTCATTTGATATTTGGTGATAAAAATGTGTTTGTGTTTTTAATAAATAGATAAATTGAATTAATTCAATACTTGGTTGTAATGTAAGTAAAAGATATATAGCTCTTTTATATAAAATTAGTTCTAAAGTTTCATTAAATGAAGTAAGTATTTTAAAGTCCCACATTCGTTTAAATGATGTATTAAATAAAGATTCTGAATTATTTATTTCATGAAGAACATATAATAAATTTGTTTTCATTTCAGAATTACATAATTCTCTATATTCTTGTGATAATAATAGTGCTGATTTAATATATACATATGGATTATTATTTATTAAAGAACGAATAAATACAGGATAAGGAATAGCATTTTCATAATTTTCTTCTTGAATATCAACTAATTCTTTTTCAATTCCATTTCGAAATATATCAGTTAAACATCCATTTAGCTGTTCAGTAAATACTCTTGAAGATGGTTGAACATAATTAATTAATGAAGAGAATATAATTTTAACGAAAAGTGGTTGAAGATTATTTCTTTTTGAATTAATAAATTGAATAACTAAACCAAATGTTGTTTCATCTTTAATAAATTCTTGTAATTTCAATAAGTTGCCAATAAATAAAGAAATAGTAATCATTAAATCAGGTTTAACAGGATTAGTTGATTTAGAATAATTAATTATATCATTACAATATTTATAAAAAAATTGAACAATTTCTTTATAATTAGAATTAATTTTAGTTGAAAAAATAAGTGGTGTTAATGATAATGGAGATAACTGTTCTGGCATATGTTCTATTAAAGACTCAAAACAATTTGATCCAATACAAGATCTCATTATTTTACCATAATGAGTATTAATATAATTTTGTAATGCTTTTTTATCAATAATATTAATGCTTTCTTTATTTAAATATTGGTCTATAATTATTTCAATGTCACGACTTATTAATTGTTTAATTGATGAATAATTCATTAATGGTAATAACTGATTAGCAGCTTTTGAATTTTGTATTATCAAAGGAATTATTGATTTTTTATATTTTTTTAAGAAATCAGCAAACACATCTACTATATAAACAAATGGAAAATTTGATAACATTGAATATTTTTCAAACCATTTTTTGAAGAATTTTGATGAAGGAGAGAAATCTATTAATGTGTCTTGAATTAA